CAGTCACACACGAGCAATAAAGGGAAAAGTAACAACAAGAGCTTCATAAGTGTTGTCTCCCTGTGAACCAAGAAGGTCATGTTCTCTGTCAAAATGCCAGCTTCTGCTTTTCTCTGTTTCGTGACAGATACCGGATTTGTTTACTAAAGCAGTTTTTGTTTTACATTAACATATTGCTTAAAATTAATAAAATTATTTCGTCTTGTTTAAAATATCACTAGAATGTTCAAGTTTAAGACACTGCTGTGAATTTCATTGATCTGTTTGCACTTTTCATGTTGTGAATAATGAAGCTGTTTTTAGTCTTCATGGTATCATCCAGATCATTAGGTGCCAGTACCGCTAACAAACTCGTAACTCCACTTCATGGCCTCAGTTAACTAATCTCTGGCTAATGGCTTTGTTTAATTGTTATATATGACAGACGTTTAATGCGTGGGATTTAACTAACAGGGTTAGAGAAATATTGAAGGATTTGAAATTTGAAATAATACTCTGGCAACTACTTTGTACATGAATGCCAATCATAAAACCAGTGTGCGTTATTCTGCAAACATCAGCAATACTTCATGATGGCAGTCGTAACAACAACAATAGCAGCAGGTTATAAGTTAAGGTCATAACATATTGAGTCGACAACTCGTCTTAGAAGTTGTCACGTATAGTGAAATCTGCTCACATTATAAGAATAAGCTTCAATAAATAAAGACAATCGTGAAGTGCTTATAATCTACAGTGTATACGATCGTTTGGGATTTAAAATAAAGTCTATATCAATTTGTTCGTCGATATAATCGAGGAAAATGTCCCAAATGATATTCAATAACAGGATGTTTGCTATTTTCAGATTTTCCTAATTCAATGTTTTTAGTTGACCCTTTAACACCAAGCGGCAAATACACAAATTGTCGACAAGCCTTAAATATTCTGCTTGATTGTTGCATCTCGATATTCAAATATGGGAAACATTTTATATATACCATGTAGCTAATATACCTTTTAGATTAAAGACATAACTGCTAAATACAAGCATTCAGAGGTATTGTAGAATATTTACAATCAGTACATTTAAAGTGACTAATTCTGGCAACTATTATTTCATGTCTATCAACCTGCCTCTTTCGAAAACATACGGACTTACAAAGATATATCGCGTTTACATGTAACAACTGATTTACTTTTCCAAAGCATTTTAAGTTTAACGATTTTCTATAAAGACGCAACCTGTTGATCACTAATCAACTTAGGGTTTGGTGTTCATTCCGGAGGGACCTGATAATAAATATGACATTTTCAGCAGCTACAATGACAGTTTTTTCACTATGACCTAGATAAAAGGTGACCATCATGTTTTCACTGGTACAGGAATATGTTGCCCTCCCATGATAGATGGTTTTGTGGTTGCCTTTTTGTAAAGTTCGTTATTTATTCATTGTTTTATGTGTCCTTATTTCCGACTTTTAGTTAAGTTTTGTCCCCGTGTTTGAGTTTGTGGTGCTGCAAAACCGCATTCACAACCTTGCACGTTGGCAACAATTTCCGCAATTTGAGATATATGTGTATCTATAACACAAAGGAATACATTGATTTCAAATTCAGTGGTTATAGATAACTGAATGCTTTCCGATGATAGGGAAAGTGCGCTAAAACAATACTAAAATTTGTACCATAGATGTTTTATTCAACAATGTATACTTCTTTACTACTTTTTTGAGTATTTTGTTGTCAATATATACTCATATTCATCCTGGTGATCAATAAATTCGTAATTAAACATCATCAATTCCTCCACCAGCGCGCTTTTTCCAAGCCACCCTATAGCTAGAAATAAGAGGAAGAGCAATTTTATTCTTCCATCGGAAATAATTTATCCTTCCGGAATATAGAATATTTTTAACGGAGGCTATTATATGCAAATCTGTCATAAAAATCCCGGAAGTGACATCATTCCGAGAGAGATTTATACCCAGAATTTTTGATGGATGATGCTTTTTCCATAATAACTAGGTGTGTGTAATATAGACCCAATTACAGGCGATCAAGCTTTGCAAAATGCGTCTCAAGTAGCCTAATACCTCGGTGAGGCGCATTTTAGCAATTTATTGTCCTTCCTTAATTGTATTTAGGAGTAGGCCACAACTTTGGACTGCACTTACAGCAATATGTTTTTGACATTATCTGGCATATTTATAACTGTCGATTGAATACAAATTCATAGAAAAGATACGAATCCTTTTCAATATTCGAATTAACGGCTGTACTCGGTCAAAGGTTGGATCTTTTGTTTCTTCTAAAAGGTCTGTTGCATTAGCTAGCTTTCATAAGATACAATTCAGGACTATCTGTCTATAAAGCAGAGTGAAGCATGTCCTAAGACCTAGCCACTTGTTAACTCCATGATCCGATCAGACGACAATTATCCGGTACGATGAGCTACATCATGTATATATTCTTTTGTAAAAATATAGCCAACAGTTTTACGTTATCCATTTTAGATTCAAACAATGCTTGACTGCAATATTATGTTGAAATATGCGTTGTGTGTTGTGTGCAAAATAACAAACACTAACAACATACACTACTACATAATCTGCACTGCAGAATACTTTATAGACATGCAGTTGGCAATATAAGACACTCTTAGAATTTAAAGTAAAAAAAGCACAAGAAATCGATGAAATACTAAGATATAAGGAAAGACATTAAGAAACGCCACAAAACTAATTTAGAATAAATAGCAACTCTTTTTTGCTTTATCATAGATAAAGCTACGCATATTTAATTTAACCCCAGAATCATACAATATCAAACAATAGTGAATGCTCATTAAATTAGATACTCCCTTTTTGACGAAACGGTCCGGAATATTTCAATTTAATTGATCCTTTCCACATTCGATTTTAACATTACCTTACACTGTTCACATCCGGGATAAAGCTGACCATTGTGTTCAACATTCAAAAAATGAAAGTAAATATAATCATACAAGTGAGGAGAAAACTGAAATGCTAGGTTGTCTTAAGATAAGAGTAATTGGTCAAAAGATCGCTGTGAGAGAGAAAGGTCAGGAAGGAGAGAGGGTTTCTTTTGTTGCCCTTTAATATGTACAGGTACATGTATGACCATAGCTACAAACAAGAAACCAAAATCCAAAAATGTTGGAATCTAAAAATGCTATTAGCAGACCTGTTAAATATTTGAAGGGCTGTTGAAATAATAATGCTATATTCATTGTATTGAAATGTATGGGGCTACAAGTGTGAATTTACATTAGTCGTTTTTACCATTGGCGCGATTGTGAGGGTTTATTCTCGATAAAAATGACAAAATAACTTTCATGGAGATTAATCAAGTTAATTAAATTGTCTTTGTGATGGTTTGCAAGTAATATTACAACCTTGTATTGTAGGAATTTTAGCTCATTGGAATAGTGGTATCACTATTTGCATAACGACATTATCGATTTGCTGGTCGTCTTGTTATGTGAAAAGTATAACAGATCGGTCTGGTTATTTCTTCTTAAATATGAAGTTTTACGAATAACATATTAGACCCTGGACCGACCAAAATAATGCCATGCAAATCTGATATCTGAAAACAATTACGAAGTATACAAAATTTGGTTTGCTTACTTGCCTATAAAAAGGGGTTGTCATTCTTTACGATATATTTATTTTCATTAATGCAAATGTATTGTGAAACTTATCACGGTAACTTCGATTCCGTTACTTAAACTGTTAGAAAATAATAAATGTACACGAATTACATAAAATTCCTCAATACATCTAAGCATTACAAAAATTCAAATGATGAATGTTCCCTCTGTCTTCAAAATACTTTAAGACTTAATATTCTGGAAATAAACGCTTTTCGAGACAGATATTGAAGGCAGCTTTGCCTCGGTATTAGGTAACTGCAAGCCTGTGATGAAACATTTGTTGAAGTTCCTCTTCTCTGATATATAATTTGAATAGCCATGTATTGTATAAACCTTCCTAGCCGGTTACAGGAGAGTTGTATAATTGGAACATCAAACATGGATGCTATTCAAATAAACAATTAAGGGAGGACCTTTATTCTGTTTATCGTCATTATTTAAGAAACAATTTTAGTATTTATATTTGCTCTAGATTTGATATTAGCTAATACACATTTACTTATACTTATGAGGATTTTAATGTTCATAATTTACCGATTATCACATGTTTATGTTCCCGATGGTATCAATAACATAATTCCTGAAATAATGTTTTATAAATTCATAATAATAATTCGAAGTTCTTATATACCGCTTTATCACAACCTAGTTCGTTGGTCGTCTCGAAGCGGTTCACAAATTATTATCCGTGGTTATAAGGCCTTTGCAACCAGCCAATATTTTTCTCAACTCCCTTGGGAGCACACAGCCGGAGCTGCCATTTCGGCGCTAACAGCTAACATTCAACAATTATATCACTGCCCAACCACGTACTCATCTACAGCTGAGCAGACTGGAACAACTGCTCAAAGATACAACACAGTGCCGTGCCGTGACTCGAGCCCGGCTTCCTACCACTAGACTACCGTGCCTTATATATGTTCCCGATTGTATCAGTAACATAACTACGGACATAGTGAGTTTTACATAACAATGACAGAATGGACAATGACGACAGTGTGCTTACTTCAATACCCTGAAGTGTTACTGTCTCCTTTAAACAGGTATAGCTTACTCACATGCTACAGCACTGTACAGAAAATGTAGCTGAAGTAGAAAATAAAACACGTCATGTTATAAGCACCAGATTAGCACCATCGACGAATCTATCTTATTTTACAATGTTTTTCTCTACAACCCTGATACATTCTAATGACTAACACTCATTCTGACTGTTCCACTAACGTTGCATGGTAATTTATAATGTTTATGTCAGTTTGTATACGGTATAACTTATCCTTCACAACTACATCTGCAATGTAGCCAGGTATATCTTATTTTTAAACATCTTCTTTCTTTGTAGGTTGTGTGGATGAACCCCAAGCGTATTGTTGTGAGTCAAAAGGAAAGTCGCTTTATAAACGACCCCCGTATGAGTATAGAGCGGCCATTTATGGGGGACTACAACCTCCACATACGCAGTGTAAAGTATGAGGACCGGGGTGATTACATGTGCACAATTAATACCCAGCCAGTTACCATCAAAAGGATTCGCCTCATCATACAAGGTCAGTTCTGTACCACATGCATGTACGATAGTACCTTATAGATGTTTAAGAGTCTATCACACGAAGGAGCGATGGCTATGGATATTATATCAGCGGTACTTAAACCAATATCTGCCTCAATACCTTATATTTCAGGGTAGAATGTCCGTACCCCACACTTAACGTGCTTAATATTTGATTAATTTGCCTAATATCTGTCGTAAATTATGCATTTGTTGGAATTTGTAATTGAGGCGACTTCAGTCTTTTTAGTTACGTCACAATAGCAACCACATCTACAAAATGCGTCCAGTAGCTAAATAAGGTTTGTTTCCATGCAGGTTATGCGATAATAGCTTAAAAATATCTTTGTGCAGGTCGCATGATAGATTCATGAACAAAATGCTTTGATAAATATATATAGAAAAAAATCAAACGACATTAATTCTGAAATTATTTCAATGTTGTACTGTAATCTTGTTACTTGATTAATTTAATATGTACTGCAATGACTGTATAAAACTGATATGATGTATTTTATTCCACAGAGATTTTGCTAGAATTGTTATAGTTTATTATAATTTGTCATTCAGAAAGGCATATTTCAAAGTTTGTGCTGGGCAAGGTTTAAAGTTTTGTTCAAAGTGTTACAAATTGTACATGCAGGTTTCTGGAACATCGGTACCTGGTAAACAGTTCAAGCAAATTTCCCGTTAACTTTCACGATCTAGATTTATATTGTTCCTTTACATGACACATCATAAATCCGATTATAATTGTTTTAAATGAAAGACTTATGAATATGTGATCTGTGATCGAAATGAACATTTAAGAGACGTTGTAAGTTTGAAGGAGAACGTGTGATTTAGGTGTAGTCCTAACACACAGTTGTCTGTACCTGTCACCGTTACGAATCCTTTGCATTAAGTACTGATTCCACTCAACAGCCGAGTAGGATAATGTCAGTTCAGTTACATGTCTCGGGAGAGCTGGATGACATAATTCGGAAAGAAACAATTCAAAACGACTATCGAAATTTCCATCTCGACACGATGTATTTATTTCATTCCCCTATTCAGATCTCCCGAATGATCTCTTTGATACCAAGGATATTTCTCATTAATCGTGCTTTGTACTAAATAACAAAATTATGAGCAGGGAGAAGGTCTATTCACTAGATCCATAACTTAAATTAAGTTCTCTTTTAGGAATTTGCGAAGGAGGTCATACAGTGGGTTCTTGGGTGATAATTGGCGTGGAAATCGTACGACAAGAATCTCACTGTAAATTACCAATACACAGCTAGGCAATTACGTGTCTGGTTAGACTATTTGCAGCGATATTTCAGTTGTGATGCTCACGATAACACGGGGAATAAACACAAAGGGAATACGGAGTATGTATCAGTTATATAATAATACTTGCTCTACGGATGTTAAAATTTAAACCTTGTCTCAGAAATAGATTTTAAAATAATTTAGACTGCAGTGTTAACACTCAAAGACAAGAATCTAAATCGATATTTAAACTAGATACTCCGAACGGTTAAGTATTGTCTTCATCATATGTGACACCCGTCATGATATGCTCCCGTTTCATCAAGAACAGTATGTCGCAATGTGGAATAAAATGTTTCATAATTTCTCGCATAGGTTGATGTTTTTTCTGCTTTATTCTATTTTTTTCATAGTTATTGTGACAGTCTCCTTCGTAAAACTTCGGTTGACTAACATATTGAAACAATAAATTGTATTACTTTGGTCAGTCTTCATTGTACTGTTTCAGTCTTCGGATTACACAAAACTTGATACTGACATCCTTGTTCTATAGTTTCTGATAAACTTTTCTAACTCAAAATGTTATCAACATGCAACACATTTTACAATTGGAAATGTTTTGGGTTTTTCCGTCATAGTTTTAGAGTAGTATGATATCAATCAGGTCATGACGGAAATGTCCGAATGGTTCCGATTGAATTATGTCGCCTTACGGAATAGATAGTCATATGAAAACGCCGTTATTTCCAAAAAAAAGGTGTTCGAAACGTTTCTAATAAACTTTTCTAACTCAAAATGTTATCAACATGCAACACATTTTACAATTGGAAATGTTTTGGGTTTTTCCGTCATAGTTTTAGAGTAGTATGATATCAATCAGGTCATGACGGAAATGTCCGAATGGTTCCGATTGAATTATGTCGCCTTACGGAATAGATAATCATATGAAAACGCCGTTATTTCCAAAAAAAAAGGTGTTCGAAACGTTTCTAATAAACTTTTCTAACTCAAAATGTTATCAACATGCAACACATTTTACAATTGGAAATGTTTTGGGTTTTTCCGTCATAGTTTTAGAGTAATATGATATCAATCAGGTCATGACGGAAATGTCCGAATGGTTCCGATTGAATTATGTCGCCTTACGGAATAGATAATCATATGAAAACGACGTTGTTTCCAAACAAAAGTGTTCGAAACGTTTCCTGAAAAGCAAGAAAAATGATCTGTGTAATTTTGAACGTAAATAGATATCTTTGTAACCTTCATGATAGTATACACACACCTACGATATAATGTGTGGGGAAAATGTTTGAAAGGAACCTCACTTCATTCGAGTATTTTTCATTTCATCAAAAATGTTAAATTTCTATCAAATATATATTACCTTGTTAAACAAGTTAAGTATCTGTTATATTTAAAAGTTACCTACAATTTGGAAAATGATAAATAAGATGAATAGGTCTTAGAACCTGGTTCCATCTCAAGATGTTATGATAATTATATGGCTTTTGTGTTGGGTGGTTTGTAGACTCCAAACCCTCATTTTCTATTTATTATGCTTACTCAAGATTGCTTTTCTGTCAATTCAATGCTCACGAGTTCATTCTTGTGAGAATCTTCGATAAACTATTTAAATAGTGATTGATATTTAGTTTGTCTATATAAATCCGAATAATTCACTACGAATTTACACAAACGTTGATTATCTCAAAAATTGGGCTGGAAAGCATAACATCTTCGTCTTATATGTATGTTGGTTATACAAACCATTCCATTTATTGTGCTGCCATATGTTATATGTTTCAGTTCCCTCGCGTATACTGGACTATTCTTCCTCCAATGTCGTCACAGTGCGGGAAAGGAGTGATGTAGAACTCGTGTGTAATGCCACAGGAGTTCCGCCCCCAACGATCACGTGGTACCGACGCACAGACGAAAGTCCACAGGGTCGTGACAGTATGTATTACTGTACAAATGCCGTTTCTATTATAAAGATTCATTCTGTATGTAAACAATATGAATAGCCAGACTTATTCTGCATGCAAAATAATGAAAGAACTGACAATAATACAACGGACCATTGTAATTAAATAGTACAAATAATTGACTAAATAAGTAAATCAAATTGTAAAACGGTTTTAGTTTGAGGTCTTGAAAGTCACATGAATATTATTTTGACCAATTATATTTATCACTGTGTGTTTTACCTTGATTCATTAAATAAACATCAAAGAATGTTATATATTCGCATTCCTCGAATGCACATTTGGTATTCCCTATCAATATCCATAAAATTATTTAAGTTTTGTTATACAACATTTTCCCTTTCATCGAAAAAAAAGGAGGCAAAATCCAATATCCATAAAAAGATTATCTGACGCAAATTTAAACATAAGCAGGTTGCGGATTTTCCATACTCACAGACTCCATCTTGACGACGAAATACCACTGAAGGTATATTCTCAACGAGGGACATATAGGCACTTATAAAATGGGTGAATGATGCAACGTAACTTGCATTGTTTGGTATTAGGCAATTCCTTTCTTTGTAATTTTGGTAACCGCATTACTTCTGTGACGTCACGTGGTCGGGGAAGACACGTTCTGAGCAAAACTTACAAAGCAGCCATTCGCTTCTCGGTAGGTTATTTCGTCAGCGACTTCGTATAAATTTATCAATATTTTATTTTTTAGGAGTTGGAAAAGAGGGTGAGGTTCTAGTTATCCGCAACATCAGCAGATACTGCGGAGGGATATACGAGTGCATGGCCTTTAACGGCGTGCCGCCTGCAGTCCAGAGGCAGATAGAAGTCAAAGTACATTGTACGTAAACCCGTATGTAGCATAAATCTCCTGTACAAAATATTGTAACGTTTCACTAGTTACCGTCGCTAAGGATTACAGACCCAGCGTTAGGAAAATAGTTGACCATAGATCACGTGTTATTTATCACGAGTCAAGCCGGTCTACAAAACCTTTGACCTGGCGTCTTATGCCCAGACAGCCTAACATATGACATGGAGCGAAACTTTCCTTTGTTGATTACGCAGAAGAAGAGCCGCCTCGCCCGGACTATCCTTTAACTATCATATCAAATTGAGATTAATGATTACTCGAGGAAAGCGAGAAGAAAATGTTGTTGCCCATATACTGACTGCATTTAAACTGTAGTCTATTCTAAGCCTGCATACGTAGCCACACAACCAATAATGTAATAAAGATTAACTTTAAATATTCACAAAACCTTATATTACATTTAGCTGCTGACCTAATCTAAACACAGCATCAATACACTATAAGTAATTATAATACGTTGTACCGAGGTTTTGAATGCGTTCTGTTCATAAAACATTTTGTTCGTGTAATTACATCTATCTTTAGTTGACAATATGTGATATTATGTATGACTACCTTTAATGTACAAAAAATACTCAAAGATTCCAGATTTCAAGTTTCAGTCACAAAAGCTTACGATAAAACATATTCAAACCTTTCCTGATAAAGGTATAAGAAAATTAGACCCGGTTTTGTTTGCTGTAAGAAATTTACAGATATTTCGTAATTCGTTTTCAATTTCTGATTTTAACATGTGCACGTTGATACGCTATTTGTTCATATACATGTACCTATCTATGCAACATGGCTTTCGTACATTCAGTTTGTTATTGACTTAATAGATACATGCAACCAGCAAAGGCACGTAAGACATACAACAGATGCTGGTATTCCGTCTTTGCGTATTGCAGAGTTATCTTCTCTTGTGAGCAGGTATTGATTGTTACGTCATTGGTTTGTGTGAGAAAATTACATCGCTTTCTCAAAAATTGATGACATTACTCTCACAAACCAATGTCGTAACAATCAATGCCTGCTTACAAGAGAAGATAATTCTGCAATACGCAAAGACGGAATAGACTGTTTGGTAATTGCAATCACCGTTGAAGTTTAACATTAACATAGCCGTACATATTTAGAGACCTACCACCTTTATGTATACGTAACGTTATACATCACACTCCGCTAATTTAATTACACAACCAGCTTACATCAAGTTAAATATCATTGGTTGCTTTGAATAAAGAAAAATTGTTAACTTAAATAAGGACTGTGGATTTAACAAAAATGACATTTCAAAAGGTTAAAACTATCGCAATGAGTTTAAAACGAATACAAATGAAAATTAAAAACTAAGCATCGCAACAATATATTATGATCGGTACAACATAGGATCGCTTTAATAGCCATAAGGATCGCAAGAATTGATATCGAGATCGCTACAGCAGATATTATCATCGCTATAATAAATATCAGGATCGCTACAATAGATATCAGGATCGCTACAATATATATCAGGATCGCTACAATAGATATCAGGATCGCTACAATATATATCGAGATCGCTACAACATAGGATCGCTTTAATAGCCATAAGGATCGCAAGAATTGATATCGAGATCGCTACAACAGATATCATGATCGCTATATTATATATCAGGATCGCTACAGCAGATATCAGGATCGCTACAATATATATCAGGATCGCTACAATAGATATCAGGATCGCTACAGTAGCTTCCAAGATCGCTACAAAAGCTTTCAGGATCTCTACAATAGATATCAGTAACAAAATATTTATATATAATACATTCAATCGGATTTTAAAATATATTTTGTTCTAACATGTACGAAATGTCAATGATTATGACTAAACTCTGTTCGTAGATCATTTTAAATCATATCGTGTAGCCAACATACCATGCATAGGCCATTAAAACTAACGAAGCATGGATACCCAGAGTTACACGAAGCGGGTTATGATGAGAGTACACTCCGTTTGTTTGTGTTATAGCTCCATAACATGAACAATATATTCAAGTTAATCCTTATAATTCAATCTACTATACACAATCCCTGTGGAAATCCACTTTTATTGATGGACTCTTTTCTTTTAGAAATTATTGCGATGCTGTATCAGCCAATCAAAAGCGATCTTACAAACGGCGACGTCATTGTTTTACGTTATGGGCTGATAACATAACTCTTTAAGCCAATGAAAATGCTTGTTACAAGCAAGAATAAATTATAGTTGAATGAAGACCACTATCTTGTTTATATTAACAATAACAAGCTTTGAATGCTTGCACTTTCGCTCGCATTGCATCATGAACCGTGGAGATGTCACACCACCACGCACGCTATCGGCTGGTGAACTTGATAATGCGTTAAAACCGCCAATACATAACAAAGGAGTGCAGAGCACATTAGCACTACACAATCCGCACACTGAAAGCGATATCACACAAAGTGTTTGACAGTGTTAACTGGTCGTCTGTACAATGTGTTTATCAAAAGGTTTTAAATCATCACATCAGCCTCATCAGCTATTCAACCATGTATTATTTAGTATAAACTTATCAGCAGTTTTCAATCATCGAACAATAAAGAACATCCCACAAAATTTTAATTTGTTTAGTGTAAACAGTGTGTCGCATTTGTCTGGTTGATGAGACTAAACGATCTAAGATAATATTTGTTGCTTGCTTGCAGAGTAACACTATACCTCTGTTTACTTGAGAAACATCGACAAGGGCATTATTGATTTGCTGCACCCATATTACATGTATTTGGAATATCAATTTTGTCCATACACAAGGTGATTTATTTCGCATGTCTCCCTTTACGTACATTTCTTTTACCAATTGTTTACCACATGAGATGAAAACCACAATTTTTATCCTGAATTGTGTTTTTGTTTCTTTTTTTAGTTAAACCTGAGATAAGTCTATTAAGCAAACGGATGGGACAGTACCTTGACAAGGAAACCATGCTAGAATGTATCATTACCGCGTCACCACAGGGATCCAACGTTTGGCGTTTCGGAAACGTGCAACCTGACATGAAAGAAGGATGGAAATATCACTTGGAGGTGTTCGAGGATAGTAAATATACAGTGTCATTGACGCTCAGAATAAAGACCGTTAGACCGGAGGATTTCGGAACATACACTTGTGAGGCAGCCAACCAGTTAGGACATTCTAAAAGAGATATGGTTTTATATGGTATGTGTGCTGACCTAATAAGTATATTTCTCTTAACGGCGAGTTATCTACATAATGAAAGCATCTTATTTTATTTAACTTGAAATTAACATGTACTCGTCTTGATTTTGAAATCCATACTAAATGAAGGTTGTACGCACCTCCGTTTCTGGTTCAACAGTAGTTTAGACCAATTGGATTTCCAATTTGTCGACCCCCCCCCCCCCCCCCCCCCCCCCCCCCCTAGCATCACCGTTGAGTCCTACAAGGACGAAACAGCTGTATGATGCAGTGTGATTGATTTGTGGTTTACTATTATTAAATTTTAAAGGTGTAATCACCTCTATGTGTGTGTGTGTGTGTGTGTGTGTGTGTGTGTGTGTTACATTCATCTATGCAAATTGGTGCACTGTTTATATGTTATGTATACAGTGTAATATGGGCCGTATTAACCTTATCATATACTGTACGTCACATAAAACCTGTTATATAAGTCGTATATACCTTGATATAATGGTCACACATAGTTTGTTCTGTGAGAAAAATCTACCAATGAAACAATATCACCTACCATTTGTTGCTAGTTTTGCATTGCATGCGTGATACACGTACTGCTAACTGTGCGTATGGCAGATCCTGGACCGGCCAATATCTGCCATGCACGCGCAATATCCGTTTAACTTCCGGTTCAACCATTTTATCATAAATCACGTCTCATTTATTGGACAGAGGGTAAACAAACTGGAAGTGTGCAAATGTTTACCCTGTATAATAATTTGTATTCGTTATTGAGTTCCTCAATATTTTAAGCAGAATTCGATGATATCAAACATAAAATTTAAACTTGATGTGTGTTTGTTGTATGTGTTATACTCATCATTTTAATGTTATGGAGCAGTATATGACAAAAAAGATACCATATGACACTTTCCATATCCTACTCAGTATCAGCCCTCGGGCTGATTTGGGAGTCTCGGGGACAGATAAGGAGCAGGATAGGGATAGGTCGTTTAATAACCTCTTAATATATATTTAGCAGTCATGAAACCGCAAAGTCTGTACTTTCTGGATAGGATGTTATCAAGTAAACTCTGAAGTAACGCATGAATGTTTGAAGAAGATCCAATGAAAGAAATCCAATGATCATAATAGTATTATTTTCTGTTTCAGAATATATTGTTCCTACACCTCCCCAAATACCCACTGTATCGAGTACAACATACAGAGTGGAACCAAATAACCCCTATGATGATATCAACACTATAGGTGGCAGACAGGAAGGGGTAACCATTCGTAATCAAAACAGAGAATCAGCTCAAATCCATAAATCATCAGAGACTCAAATCTTAGGTAACAGTATGCTAATAATATCGACAACAGTGTGTGCGTGTTGGATAAAGCGATACCTTTCTTGGGTTGGCGCTACATGAGTGAAATGTCTTCTCATCCAAAACTGTTTTAGACATGAGATTTTACTACGACAACACATTAGGATCTCGGAATATCACTTGTTTGACTGATAAACGATCTACAAAGTATTACAGTACCAAATAAGCTGGTCATCAAGTCAGTTTGTAACCTCGTCAGGTCAGTCATAATAACACATCAAAGTATATTTCGAGATCCTAGAACTCTACAATATGTATTAGAACTTAAGCTGATCTGTCTTTGTCCGTTTCATACGTCTGTTACATGTCATTTCATATGCGCCTTTGAGTTTAATTATGTGTCATCATTTATTCATAATGTATGTAATCATATAAGTAATCGTTGAAACATTTATGACTCGTCCTATACTGAAACAGCGCAAAGCTTGAACTTCAAGCATTTCTGCTTCAGAAAGCAGTTTTTTTCTTTTCTAGATATATCAAAATCCTACCTGTACATATATAAAAGTTGAATTTGAAATAATGTTTTACTTACTTTGCAGGTCAGTTTGGGACTGCGAACGTCCGCATTATGAACACGTGTAGCACCATTATAGCAACGAAGAGTTTGTTTATATATTGTTTGTTATCATATACTGTTTTTATTCTTTGGATTATATTATGATGTGTGCAATTTAGCAAATTTGTTTTATTTTCAAATTCTAATATGTCATCAGCTCAATAATTTCGCAAGGGTATAAAATAAGGTGAAACATTTTGATAAATCAGTTTTTCGTTTTTATAGTGGCACTTCACCGCTTTATTTCGAGTCAAAAGTAAACTACATATAATAAATCATAAGATGATACAATGATAAGATGATCGTAGAAAAACATATTTATTACTATGTTTATATGATGTTTATGATTTATATTTGTCACAATAGATCAAATTGACTTCTACAACGTACATAGAAACAATGCTTTTCATTGGAAAGTAAATTGTCCCGATTACGTTATAACTGGATCATTTATCATATTCCAGTTACCTTATTCTACATACCATGGTACTTAAAGATTTAATTTATCCAAAAACAATATCAGGCGGGTTTTTTTTGTATCTGGGTTGAATTCAATGATGATTCAAAAGCGAACAAAGTGAAGAAATCTTAACTATAAATAAACTAATGCATTGTACTGCAAAAATTCGTTACACCGATTTTAACCCCTTTTATTCCAATGATGGAAATAACAGCTAGGCAAAATATGTTATTGCCAATTGTGTGTATAAAGCGTGATGGTGCCGTGGCGGGTATCGTCATATATAGTAGAAGACGCTTATCCTTCCGGAACACCTGGTCTTATCCCCCTTGTACGTTTTCAGGGGTTTCCTTTGATCATATTTCCCCATAGTTTTATCGATTTTAAATTCGATTGATGCTTTTGTTGACATTTTGGTATTCACTTGTTTTTTATAACCTGATGCAAGGTATAGTGTCATTTTCATTCATCATGATTATGTTCTCCATATACGGTGTAAAAAAATATGCTGTACACTAAATACTCGTCAGTTGTAAGATTGCTCTATTCCTGAATGAGTTGTATTAAAGAGTTGTGAACAACACACGATACCGCTGGTTGTACAATCAAGTGGTTTGACGTTTAATGTACTTCATTGAATAGATTTTTTATGAAAGCATAATTGCTTAAATGATATGTATTACGGACGAATGCGTGTAATGTACAAATGGTATGGTGCGTGTTGGTTAATTTATGCGTGTGTGTGTGAGAGAGAGAGTGTTTAAGTGCGTACATCGGGCAAACTTTCCATATATGTATATTATCTACAGATTACAAAAGCATCAATATACCGTGTTAATACAAACGAAATGTTGATAGTGCATATATATGTTTCTCATGTCAATAGTTTTCATGTTTGTGATAGTGCCAAACCGATTAACCTGACGAAATCGTAGTCTTGGTCTACTGTAGTCCACTATAGAAAACAGTCCTGACAAACCTATGAATTAGGACCGCCAAATGGAAAACAATACCGTTTATTATAAGAAAGCGTTTGTTAAAACATGTACGCATTCGATACAAATATCATTGTTGTTTTTCCATGATTGCAGTATCACTTTGCTTAAATCTTAAGATTAAGATATATTTTCATGTCGTCAATGGAAAGATGTATTGTCCGCGCGTTGCATAATGTTAAACGTCAATACACTGTAAGAAATCCTCCATTACATACCAGGACCTTGTTAAATCATACAGATTGTCAATGCCTAGAATAAAAATGCAAGGTAAGGGGGTACTTACGGCACATGTTTTTGACAGGACTCATGATCACTTATCTACGTACAGTGACTATCATAAAATATATGTATAAGGAAATGTTGATATTCTGCATCATTTCAATTTGTAAACTTAAAGAGGAATTGGAGTTTTCCTCACATATAGATTTGACCTATTTTTTTTTTATTTTTTTTCAATTGTTTTGAGTTATTTTTCTGTGATGAATCCATCGCAGAATATACGTGATTTCGCTATTCTACTTGAAACATATTTTTTGAGATTTTGTTTGTTGATTCAAAATGACGTGGGTACGTTGACCTTGTGTGTATAATGTGAGATAATTTTAGTGCGGAACTATCCCTACACGTATGGTTCGAAGAGTAGACATTTACAACACTATGTGTGAATATATCCGTTAATGTGTGAATCTATTGCTGTTGAATTCGTTATTTTGTACATGTCAGTATGTTATCTGGAAATATTCTGTAATGCATAGGACATAAGCTGTTTAAGCATAAATGTATATAGCATAAATACTACTTTGTTTCAACTGTGTTTGTATCGCTATTCTGTGCAATTGTATAAAAGTAAAGGATCTTTGTAATTATGTACGATCATTATTTCAAGGTAAATTGATATATTTATATATATGTCTCACGTATTGGTGCAGAATCTAATGAGAATGAGAGGAAACGAATATATGCCAATGCTGTAGTACATGAGTGATGAAATTGTGTTTGCGTAAACAAAGTGTACATGATAACTGCTAAATAAAAAAATCAGAAAATATTATTATTCTTGTTCTTTTAAATAAGTTTTAATTATTATTTCGATTTAGGTGGTGGTTATTTGATTTACGTATGACTTTGTTTGTTAGTTGTTTAGCATTCGTTGTTGTAACATACGTATTAACGATTAATTTGTAACTTTAAAGCCCCGTATAAAACACTTCAGTTTTTTTTTTATTTACTACACTGTGTTATTTGTAATCTAATATAGACGAACCTGTAACTGACCGATTACAGGGTGCGATCGTTAAGTCCGATCATATGCACTAGCCTTGCTACCAGTCCTATGACATAGCAAGGGAGATAACCCCGCCTACATGATCAAACAAACCGTTTCATTTACAGAACGATGACCATTACAACATAACAATATGCATGACATGAAGGTTTACTGGATGCTGAATAAAGCGCACCTTTAACTTGTGATGCATTCAGCATGCAATGATACATAAGGGTACAAGCAGCAACATTTTAATTGAATTTCAAAACACCATTAAAATGTCCAGTTACGTTAAAAGATCTCTCATTCATCATGCATGTATTAATGGTATGATAATATTTATAATAAAAAAAATTTCAAATAACAAAGCCACGGCGGCAAATAACGGTATTTATTTGTCGAACTTAATTGTAAATAGTCAAGTGATTGAATTATGACGACATTTGTTTAGAAGTACGTTGATATATGTTAATGTGTTATTAGATAAAAATTATAGCTCAAAAAATGTAACGCTGCCATACAAGCAATAACTTCATATTGTAAAACAGTTTATATTGTCGAAACGGACATTTTTGGGGCCTCTCTGTAATTATTTTGGGGTCCAAAACGTTTTTGTTTAGTAACTATATGAGTAGTACACACCTGCAAAATGACCCGACATTTAGAAAAGACTGGCCAGTGCAATTGCAATGGGTGAAACATTGTCGAGTGGTATACGTTTTACGTAGAATCCCAAACAAATGCGATCACACAATCAAGACTCGACCATTTAAAATCAGAAACATTTTCCCAAGAGTATAATTACATATGAATATGGTTGCACGATTTCGAAACATATGAGTGATTTATAGTTTGTCGTCCTCAAATCTCTCCTGTTTGTCCAATCTCTGTCATAAAGACAACGTCGGGAGCAAGATGAAGATGAATAGTATTGCACAAATATACAACCACATTTTCCCCCATAAAACGGCATTGCAGCGACTTGGCAATAGCAAACCTCAATCAAAGAAGACAATAATTGCCGGGGATCGCCTGCAAGTTAGCTGTCTGGTTGAGATGTCGCTTAAAGACATACATGTATGTTATGTTGATAAGACTGGTATGCGCTTACGCACAAGGCTGTTGCAAAAATAGCCAGTGTCAGGACTTTGGTAAAACTGGAATGCCCACGGCCTTAAACCTTCGTCTCGATAATGCATCTCAAAAAGTGTTCATCTTGACTTATCCAAGATCTACACTGGACATCATCATGTGGAAGACAGAGTTAGGACTCGTCCGTGAAAAAAGCTTTGTTCCATGTGTAAGGGCTCGGGCCATTTTCAATCGGTTCTTGATTGTTTGGATAGGTACCTTACGCCTACCAATGTCCTTATGGTCTCACCTACAGGAACAATGCGAATTTGCAAAGGACAAAAGCCGTATCCGACGGTCGATACATGGACGATGCTTCTTCGCGGACGGTCGGAAGGTGACCAAGACAAAAGGTTTATTGTTTTTGCACTGCAACCAAATCGTCGTGCAGCTTTACGTTTTGACATCCCTGTATGGAGCATGCCGCCAGCCTTTTCCCTGCATTCAAGTTCTGTACAATCAATCGCGCAGTTCGTGATTTATTTATTTTTCGAATAAAAAAATCCTTTGACAATTGAATTTTGCTACAAAACCATTGGTTTATTTTCGCAGATATTTGTGCTGTTTTAATGGGGGAATGTGTAAGCTTTCTTTTCATTCTGAATATATACATGTACCTACCCCGCCTAAGACGTGTAGCACACGTATTCCTTATTAGAATATCATTATTCTACTTAAATGGTATTTACACATTATTCTATTGAGTCTGTATTGACAACAAGTTATCTGTATCTGCGTTTGTCTGCTTAAACGAAAAACGATTGATATCTCTCATTTCTATGGGGTATAAGAAAAGTGTTTTTCGCTTCAGCGTAACTTCACGTTAAGCAATGATAGCGAATGCGAGCATTACGCGAACAATTATTGTTACATAACGCAAGTCATTTATTTTGAGTTAAACGTGTAATGAAGTTAACAATACTTTGTATAATGGTATTTGTAAATTCATTAATATGCTTTTGTCACAAAATGTTAGAAACGGAAATCCGCATAAGTGATATTCACGATATATAACGCCCCGTAGCATGTACAATGTATATAATGCTTTTGATGGCAGTTATTTAGTGTTTTACGAAGGATATACTTATAAATAAGACCCGCACGTATGATTAAACTCAAACTAGTTCCTTTAAACTAAATGTTTTCAATGTAATATGTCCCAAGATAACATTAAAATGATCTGTCAAAGTGTCATGTCTTTAGTTATCGACGGCATCTTTAAACTCCTATAAGTTACAAACGATACAAAGAGTTGCCATAGTGGGACCACTGGTGTGTGTGGTGTATCTGAAAATAGAGCCATTGTCTGCCTAATGGTTTATAGATATAGATATGGAGATGGCTCTCTTATATATATAACACGCTGGGGAGAGAATATACACGTATATCCCGTAATAGGAAAGAAAAACATTTAACATGGTATAGTTGTTCATGAATATAATGAGAAATTAGGTCAAGGCAAAGTGTTAGTCCAACGGGCATGTTAAAAATAAATGGTATATTGTTGAGTAGACGAAAACAAATTCTACTTTTTTTACCAGTTCTACGAATGAATGTGACAATGCCACGAAAGAACACAGAACGTGCATCATCAATAACATGTAGCATGACCCTGTTATAATGGGTGCACACGCGCTAACTATTGTACATTTAGGGTTACAACGAGGTTACCTAAGGACTACAGTTGTAGTGGTTGCTTATGATGTTTATCTAACTCAAATCATATATATGTAGTAACAAAGATGTACATGGAATTTTCAAATTGTTTTTGAGAAACAAGGGGGACCGGTTTTGTGTTTTAGAAATAGAAACTGATCTTAATAGAGTTAGAAAAGCATGCTGCATGTAACTACCATTCAAGACTGTCATCACCATTTTCCCCGGTTTATATGATATATAGAAAACCATATGTTTATCTTAGAAATACACATTTCCTGTTATCGACCGGAGGAATCAGTTGGTCTGATGTATGGCGTAGCAATGGAAGATGACGGTGAAAAGCAGTATTGCTACGTGACGTAAAAATGAAAAGATTGATAAATGAAATCACGCTCGGAGTTTTACATGTACACATACTACACGTAAGAGGTAACCAGAAAAGTTTAAAACACATACCAGTAAGGAAAA